AATTTTCCTAGCTCCAAGGTAAATTTAATTTAATTTTCATTTTAATTTAATTAAATTTTTCACTTTAATATTACCTAGCACACACCTACATCTTGTACTAGCAAGTCTGATGTGAAGTACTTCCTTGAGAATTATTTATTTCACATGGCTTAACATGATTAAGAATAATCCTACACCTGTTATTATATAGAAGAGTAAACTAAATCACTGCAATAGTCCCTTGCTACAATTTTAAGAAATTTTAAAGGATATTCTACCATCAATAAACAGAGCTTTTTTTGGATTTATTTAAACTGAGGTATTGGTTGAAGTCTTTCAAATTAATAATTTGAAGTCTTTCAAAGATGAAACCTTTCATAATGAAGTCCCGGTTTACCTTTGCTCTTGTAATCACAACCATTAAGATCAATATGACCATCTTCAGATTAATCTTAAGGAGAAAACATTGCTTTGCTTGGTCTCACAATTTACTAAACCATCAATGAGCGCCAAGGAATGGATTTTCAAACTGAAAAGGACCTGGGCGTTACAGCGGATGCCACATCGAACATGCGCCAAGTGTCCCCTCACTGTAAAGGGGCAAATCACATACTGGGGCTACAGTAGGAAAGCCAGCTTACCACGGAAATCACCTCCCTTCTATTTAATCATCCCTTCTTACCCAAACTTGCTGTTTTGCACAGAGATTTTCCACTGGAGAATCTGAAAGCCACTGTCACGCCTGCTGCAACGGACAGCTGGTGATGCACTGACATGATCTTTAGGCAAAGGTTCACATCTGAATGTTGGTGGGAGCCCTTCACCGTTACGCACACAGCACACTGTGCTTCCTGCAAATACACAGGTGGAATCAGCCTCAGTCAATATGAAGCACACTATGACCTGGGCTCTTGGATGGAGAAGACCAATCTTCATCACGTCCTCATTACCGACTCACAGTGGGGACTTTAACTCCAGTAACACGTAAGAAGACCGCTACTTTCAGAGTGACTAAAGTTCCTCCCAATCAAAGCAGAAACAACAGATTGAGTGCCTGTGCTCAGAGTGCTCCTCTGGTCCACGGATGACCGAGATAATGCAACAAGAAAGCACACCCACGCTTCCTTCAGTTTCTCTGGAAGTTACATTTTGGGGTGTGCACAGACCGATTCTCTTTTTGAAAGCACTTTGCAAAGGTTCCATGATTGGCTCAAAATGGTCAAAAAGCTCTAAAAGCAGCAACGTAACTTTCTATATTTTGGAAAGATTAGTGAAAGGAAGAAACCAAACGTTTAGTGGCAGTCTTAAAACCACATAAAAACCAGATTCAACGCACACACAAGTTTTTAAGAGCAACTAAGAACACTGGCTTTTCTCTCTGGCCTTATCAGAGAATAAAGCATGAGTATTATTGAGCAAGAAAGATAGCACAAAACCAACAAGTAACTCAACAAAACAATTGAAAGCTTTTATTGTGATACCTCAAGTAGATACAATATAGTGAAACAACAAATGATGTACAGTATTGCTAGGACAAAACAGCAACATAGCCATGTCACCTGTAAAAGAAAGCATTGTAAAGAGTTTAAGAAACAATGAGGCACAACTCATCTGCCATTTATGACTCATGCTTTAGGCCTTAAACCATTTGTAACAGTCCTTGTAACAAGAAACCTCTGAAATGTCTGTTCCTTTTGCAGTAAGTGTTTATACTGCTGGTTGGCTTAACATGAGTCTCAATGAAGTACAATAAACTGTCCAAAAAGTTTAACAATAATTTGACAGCTTCTTCTACTCATCACCATTATCAAAGAATGGAGATGTTTGAAATTTGGTCTGTGAGACTGTATGTAGGTCACTACTGTTGCAATCTGACTGCTGAGATGAGCGTGCAGAAAAAGCTTGACAAGCATTACTCAGAGGGAAGCGTAAGTCCAAAAATGGTACACAGCATTCATGAACTCTTGCACTAACCTGATACACCAATAAGAAATACAGATGACCATTTAGTTACGGGCACAGTGATGACTATTTGTCAGACCCTCTGACGCCAGATTTTAATTCAAAGAAATTTCATAAACTGTATTCACCCTCCTCTCCCGTGGATTGCAAAAGACTGCAAGCATGCAAGGCACACCACTCCAAATTAAGATGGAATTATAACAGACTTCATTAATACAGTTCCTCATTGTATAGTTTACAATGAACGAGGGAAATTCATATTCTGGCCCTTTTTACTGGCAGATAAAATTGAGATTACTAGACTGCTAAAAGCATACAGCAAGAGTGGTTAGGTTGATGCGTCAGCAATCCCTCACCAAATTCTGCAGCTTATTTCACAGCAAGTTTGCAACTTAACAGAATTTTTATAGATGGCAGCATTGCCTTTTATGAATCAAAAAGGTACGTAGAGTGACCAGCCAAAGAACAACTCTAGCATTTGGAGGCAGACTCAGCCCTGGAACACCATTGTTACAGTCATTATTTTGGACCTAGACGGAGAATGTGTGGTCAGATTATTAAAGTCACATCAAATTATGATTAATTACTTTAGGACAGGCGTGGCTTTAGAGGTTCAGAGGAAAAAACAAACTTCCAATACATGTACATTTTTGCTAGCAAATTCCTATGCATCCCAATGAACATTTCTAAGCCAGCTCATAGTCAGTTCATTTGGTCCAAGAAAGAGCCAGCAAGAAACAAAGGTTCACAAAAGCTTTTTGTTACAGTTTATAAAAAACAAAATACAAAATAAATGTTAAGACCAACAATAAAAATAACCAGTACAAGTAACAAAAGTGCTCAAGTTGGAGGGGAAGTAAACTTGCCCAGAGCAAACACATACAAACTTTAAATATAATCTTTAATATATTACAAAAATTGGTTAGAGGGAAAACGCTTTAGTAAAATTTTTTTTCAAGTAAGTTTATTTTTCTTTCAAATGACTGCTGGAGGGTTCAGTGACCAGACTGACCTCTTCACATCACCCAGCAGCCATTGCTATCTGGATTCTACTTTCACCAAAACCAATAACAAGAACTCTCTACATCTTTACAAGGGGAGAAAATAATCATTGACGCTGCCAAGCAACACAGGAAGAAAATTCACATATTCCCTCAACAGAATGAGCCTCAAGAATTGTTACATGGCAGCATGAAATAGCAATTCTGTACTAGTTCTACTCGTTACTCCTTCTAAGCATCCACTCTTAAAAGACCAAAAAGAATATTGCTTTGCTTGGATCTCTTAAAAGCCATAAACATCACATATAGATTATTAACTCTTTATGCCAGTAGTCTGGAGCTCTATGTGCTAAGCACTTGACGAAGTCCCAACCTTTGGCAAAGTTAATTAAGGTTTTGGTGAAAATGTCCAGTTTGAAATATAAATAATGCACTGAAGAAAGAGGTTGAATCTCTAAGTAAGAATCAGACTGTGTTACAGACAGCATTAACTTTCTAACAAGAGACAGCCAAACCCCCAATTTTAGAGAGAAAAATATTTAATACTTTACATATTTTCTTTAATTTCAACTCTCTACTGAAAAGCAGCCATTACTTTTGTCTTCAGTCCAGTGTACTGCTTCAACAAGTCTGTAGCCAGGAAATAAGAAAAGCCCAAAGATACACAAACTTCACATAAGCATGTTCACAAGTATCACCATTGCATCTGGACTTTGAAGCCAACACAAACTTTTTGCTGATAGAAGCTTTACTGCCTCCTTTGTTGGCAACATACGTTACAATGGAGGAAAACAAAATCCCAAGAATTCCAGGTCAAAGAGATCAAGAGACAGGCAACACCAAAGCCCATTTTGCATCAATGACATTGTTAAAAAGGAGACTCTGAAGCCTGATGATGTGAACATGAAGTAGTAACACGTAAGCCACAAAATCCAGATTAAACATGACTGTACCACCTCAGGTCTCCGGACTGAAACCCAGCTTTAACTACTTCTCTAATTCTTACATTTTTAAGTCATAGGTATAAATTACTACAACAGCTTGAATGAAGTTTAGCCAGCCTGCATCACAGAGAATGCGTACGCACGTGCAAACTCTCTTCTCACTCTTCCTCTCCACAAAGACACTGGAAAGCTGGTTTTAAAGATTTGTATTGCCCCTACCCATTGGCATAATTTTTCATGTATGACAAAATTTCTAAAGTGCAGCAGAGTTCAGAAAGCCTATCAGAGATTCCCAAAAACATAACAGCAGCAACAGCACCTATGACTAATTTTGCAGGTGCCATATTAGGATTGTTGTTGAGAGAAAATTATTTTGTATTGCAAGGCTTCCATTTTGTTCAGTTATAGTACTTATGTAGTGTTAAAGGATTTTTTCCAAACATTTTGTCCTCAAGCATTAAAAGGATTAAAATACAAAAAGTCTTCAGACTGTTCAATTTGAAAATAAAGTTAGCAAATCTATGTAGAGCATTTCTGTCATAGTTGCTCAGAATTTGCATGCACAGATACCAACAGCTAATGTTGTGCATACACTTTCCAGAAGTTTCTCTCGTTAATTCATTCTATTTAAGAAACAGCATGAGAACAAGAGAGGAAGTGAGTTTCATATAAATTTTTGTAATAAAAAAGGTACTTGGGGATGATTTAGCCAGCAAACCAAGAAACCCTTTCCCCACCCCCAAGTTTTAAAAACTATCTTATTATTTTAAATTTTTATGAAAAATTGAGTCAAACTTCCCTTCCCTCTTATTACACCTCCTTTTCCTACAGGTACTATATTAATTTTCATGTCATAGGCTCTGGCCATTTCTCACAAAAATATATATTTTTGTTCAAATGTAGTAGAAGAAGAATACTTCAACAAGTTTCGTTGATAGCAACCTCTTTGTCCAGTGCATTAGGACTATACAGTTACATGGAACCAGCCATAAAACTTTACTGATGCACAAGTCCCTGTTACTGGCTAAGGTACAGTACCAAAACTTTTTTTTAATACACCGACTAATTTTTTTTTCCCCAAAATAGAAGATGCATATATTTTTCTGCCTTTTTAATCTTGCAAGCTATAGTTTTATAAATTTATTATCCAGCAAACTCCTTAGGGAATATGTTGGTCTTAAATGAACACATTCTATATCATTATTGACTTTAAAATCCTTCTAAGGTATTTTATTAAGATACCAAACCTCTAGCATAAACTTTCCTAATAACTTGAGACCTGCTAACTTCAGTCAGTGCAATTGAAATATTTTTTAAAGTGAGCACTGTACCTTAAACCAATTCACCTACAAGATGTACATAGGTTGTGGTACACTCAAAAATTTAAAAGAGAAATTAATAACTACAATACTGCATCCTCTTCACTGCCAAACACATCAGAAATTGCTACATATAAAAAAGCACCCCATCCCATACATTCTTTCAGACTGCTCAGATCTAGAACTTCTACAGGACTGGAGTGTAGGTGTTTAGGCAAGAAGCATGCACAGCAGAAGGTAGCATTAAAGGCATAGGTCAGAGATAGACGCTAATCAGTAAAATCCATTTTCAATTAGTGAAGTGTTTCTATAGTTTGAGACAGTTTAGAAAAAGGTCATCCAAAATGTTCCAAAACAACTGTTCACACAATAATACACGTACAAAAAGAGGGAACTTACACAAGGAGAAAAGGCAAACATGGCCTGAAATAGCCACTTATACTACACTACTCATTTGTGAGGTTTCAGAGTTCAGTGATATTCTCAGGGCCACTCTAGCCAAGCTCTTCCTTTACTTTGCATTAGTCTTTGTAAAGCATGTTCCACAGAGTATTGTCCAAAACAGAAGGAAAAAAAGGTTATGATTCACTCCCAGCCATTGTCTTTTATCATGTGGGCAAGTTCAATGATAAATTTTCCTTCTTTGTATTTCTGACTGCTCTCAAAAGCATGTTCCTGGAAAGAAGAAAAATCAAGACACTGAATTACACTGGGGAAATTAAGTATTTTAAACATCAAATTTGCATTAAAAATACAAACCAGGAGACATTCCAGTTAGCATCCCATATCGAATCAAGGGTGGGAGGGAGGAAAGAGAGGATGAAGAAGGTTGAGAAAGAAATAGGAGTAAACTTCTTGTAAGTGGAATTGGCAGATACACTGCACAACAGAGCTTGCTTTAGAACTTTCCATGTTCTCTCACTGCTTAAGGAATTTTAACGCTTTTTTAAAGTAAAGGTTAGGAAATGGCATGTTATATGTGTTCAGTTTCCTTATTCCCAGAAGCAATGAAAAGAGGGAATGGGAACCTTTTCGAAAAGCTCTCCTCTACATTCATCAGACAGAATGCATTAGGACAACTTCTTTCTGTAACATCTGAAGCTATACCGAACCAGTTAAAATCCCACATGCAACACCCAGAACCTAACATTCTCAAAACATCAAACTTGCAAACAGCTGCAAGCGTTATGGGTAACTGTGCAAGTGCACAGGTAAGTTTTCAAACAACAGAATCGAGTTCACATTAGTTGTAAGCAGTATGAACATGCTCAGTACCATTTATCATAATTCATATTTTTGCTATATGAACCAACTTTTGCAACCCAAGAAATTAAAGACCCACTTTGACAATGTCTTCCATCCAGTTTAGTGTATGTGGCTGGTAATCTTGTAAAAAGATATTACAGAAGTATTAGACAGCTGTAACTACCTATAGCTTATGCTTGTTTCACAGTCCAGAATAAAGTTATCTACTACAGCATTCCAGCAGACGTAAGGAAGCAAAACTGTGTTACAGCCTCATATATACAAAAGCACTAGAGCTAACTCACCTAAACTATCAGTATAGGTGCTACTCAATGGCCTACTCAAATATCTGTGCTTCAACATATAAACATTTATAGAATACTTAAGTATATTGCTTACATATTTCCATCCAAGAGTGGTTTTACAGTTTTCACAATAGATATCTGCTACAGCATGTAAACCTGTCAGAAGAACTCTCTCCTCTGCTGGACCACAGCCCACATTTACCCTGAAAAAAAAGGAGAAAATTACATTAACTGCACAACAATGTTTCTTTTCTTACCTGTTACCCATCTTTCCTCTAGAGGACAAAAAAAAAAATTTAAAAAAAGCACCTAACTTATTCAATGCTGTAAAAGTAACTTCCTCTGTTACACTGCACTGATGGACAGGAAGAAAAAAAAGGGGTTTGGTTTTTGTTTTCCAAGTGGCCAGTCTAAACAGCAAACTGTTGCCAATGCCCACTTACTCCCATCAACAAAGAGGGGCTAAACAGTTAAATTTTCAGAGAACAGAACACTAAGCAGTAACTGGACACCTCTACAGTTTCGGGCTTTTCTTCAAAAACAATTTGAGACCTCTATAATGGAAGTCTATACCAGTAAACCAGCACCCAAAGTTGGATTTAGAACCAACTCCAAAATAGCAGCAAAGGAAAAAGCTTCATAAATATTTCTCTGCTACAGATCAGCAGACTAAGCCACAACGAGCAAACAACAATATTAAAACAAAACATCCCATGAAGTATTGCATCAAGGTAATTTTTTCATGAAAAAGAGCCCATGTAGATAACATGATGCAAGACTAAACCAAGTTTTTAGGTAGTATTACACAAGAGCAAAATTTTGCCATTTTTGCTGTTGTATTACCAGGTTCTTACTACTACAATTATTCTAGAAGTCCCAAGTCACCACTGAATGACTACATACAAAAAGAATTTCAAGGATCTGCAATCAAATCCTTTGCAGTTATAGCTCCATTATCCTGGTCTAAAATAGACTAAGACACTTAACTGCATTTCTTTTTCCAAAATGCTGCAACACAATAAACTGCTGAAAAATAAAGACAAAAATGCAATCCTGCATATTTGAAATTTAAAAAGACGTCCATTAGCAAATTCAAAGAGCCTTGTATTATGGGTAGGACATGCCTAAAATTGCAAATATTAGGCTTGATAAGATCAGAGACCTTTTGCCTCTAATACATTTGCAATATTCAAGGTCATTTAAGAGGTACTAAGTTTACTGAAACATTAACCTGTAAATGTTATCTACCACACTAGAAAACTCTTCTTTAGACTACAGCAGAGTTTTCTACAGCAAATTTAGAGTCATACACTAGATTTTGACTTCTGGAATATCTCAGAATGGCAACTCTTACACAAGACAGTTACCATTACATACACAAAAGGAATTTCACATTAACACCCTCCCCTAAACTTTCAACTACTAGCAGAATTACTTAAAATACAAGATAAACTAACATGTGTAAAGCGATACTTACAAATCAGCTCAGTAGTTCTTTAGTAACTATTGCTGGTGAGTAAAGCCAACATTATGAAGAACATGGCAAAGTGCAGCTACATTAATTCCTACTGTTTTCCGCTTACAAAGCATACCAAAAAAAGTTACACTCTGTAGGTAGTGTGCATAACCATAACAACATACTTACACGGAATTAAAGAGGTAGGCTCGTCCCTGGCTTCCCTGGAAGGACTGCATAAAAAAAAACAATTGCACTTGTTAAAAAACACAAAAACCTCCACCAAACAAAAAAATTAGTTCCAGAAGGGTGTGTTGGTAAGCATATAAACATAATACAGATATAACCTATTTCTGATTAATTACTTTATACCAGTTCTCTATAGGAAAGCCTGGTCAGCAAAGTTTTCACCTGCATTAGGTGTTTAGCAACGATGTAAAGTTGTTAAGTATGATTGTTCAAAATAAGACATCCATAATGCAAACAAAACATACTTTTTTTCCTACCCCTCTGCAAGATACCAATTCTCATTTTCCTAAACATCCTTCATGCTAATTAAAACAAACTGCTTTTAAATCAAAGGGAATTATTTCCATCTCCTCTGTCCTCTCCCGGTGCACCCAAAAGATTATTAATTTCTATTTCATTGCATCATTTGATGTAAGAAAAGCGAAATTCTGGACCAAGCATAAAACTAGCATACTGTATTCAGGAAATGCATCTGATCAGTTTGTATGCTCAGCTTTATTTTAATAAAGCAACTGTTACCATCGAATGCCCAAGCACAGCCATATGCTTTCGCATCTCTCACATTCCCGATAGATTATGGACCAAAGATGACTGTTAGACTTTCCTGGCTGGATCTAAATTAACATTTTTTAGTTCAGAGCAGTAGCATATTTTTGAAGTAAAACCCCTAATCAACCACACTTACTGGGGGTTGGTTTGGCTTGCAGAGCAGTTTCAGTGCCTGTGAACCACATCTTTGTTTCTTCTGTACCAAAAATAAACCAGAAGCTCTTCTACTGTGCACTCTACAAATGCTAATGAAGACAAAGGCCTGAACCTATGATCACACAGCCTTGAGCTACAAACATCCTGGCAAAACTTGTAAGCAGACTAGATCCAGCCATAGGTAAAACATTCAAAACGTAAGACACATCACTGCTTTCATCTGTTGATGTGTTCCTTCTTTACTGAATTACTTGATAACTTATACATAGCCATTATTTCCCATTCAAACAGCATCACACTGAAATGGGAGTTTTTCTTTTTCTCTTCCATACTGAATTCCGTTTTTAAAAAAAAAACACAACTCGGAACTGTCTTAATTTCTCTTTCCAGAATTTCCCTTCCCTAATCTGCTTTCAAAGACAATTAACAATTTTATCCATGCTGAAGAGAAAGTACAATTGTTTTTAAGAGTCCTTGAAGATCAACGATCAGCTTTTCTGAAACCTACATTAGATCAACATGAAAGGTTTCTGGAAGGAAAAATCTTACCTTGAATATTTTTTAATATTGGAACCATAGGCAGAATGGATTCTTCTTCTGACATGTATTTAGTTACATAATTAGAAGCCACTTGACACAAAAATAGATATTTTGCCAGTCTAATTTAGCAACACAGTACCAATAACTGTTGTATCTTAACTACTTCCTCAGAACAGTTTGCAAAAAAACCAAAAAGGGGGGAAATGTATACAAATGAACACTTTTTAATCAACATTAACAGTTTATATACTGCAACAAAGAACATTAAAAGAAATCCATGACTCTGGACTACTCTAAGTAGCAATAGTGGCAGTGTAGTTACATACAGCCCTTAGCTACTCAAAATCACACCTTGAGAAGTTCTACTTAACAGTCTATAAGCATTAATATTTTAGTATTATTTTAGTAACCTTTTAAAAGAATTATTAAATGAAGATTTTTATTAACAGAACATATTATTGCTCTGTACAGCTATCTGAAAGGGAGTTGTAGCGAGGTGGGGGTCAGTCTTCTCCCAAGCAAGAACCAATAGGACAAGAGGCAATGGCCTCAAGTTGCACTGGGGGAGGTTTAGATTGGGTATTAGAAAAAAGTTCTTCACTGAAGGGTTGTCAAGCATTGGAAGAGGCTGCCCAGAGAAGTGGTAGAGTCACCATCCCTGGAGGTATTTAAAAGAGACATAGATGTGGCACTTCGGGACATGGTTTAGTGGTGGACTTGGCAGTGCTAGGTTAATGGTTCTACTCAATGATCTTATAGGTGTTTTCCAACCTAAATGATTCTATGGTTCCATCTACAGCAAAGACAAAAGAAAAGGTACTCTCCCCTTTAGCCAGAACTGCAAGTCTTATTTTTCAAAAGGCAAGGAAAAAAAGATAGGCTACGCAGTACAGTAAAAGTTAAAACTTCAGGTAGGATTGACCCTGAGAGACTCAGTTGAATACACTCGGAACAGCTCTACCAGAAAGTAATCCTTACACCTACGTTTAAAACAAATGAAAAATCCCCACCACTAGAGTTCAGTTCTTCCAAGATACTTAAACACACATCACAAAACTGGCAGAACAGTACAGAACCTACAGTCTGTAGTTTCTGTAGAATAAGCAGTGCTCTAATTTAGAGCCAGTATCTCACAACCAATAATGAAGCAGAAAACGCTTACTGCAGATGAAAACAAGAACTATTAATGTATATACTCACAAAACTGCCCATTAACAAATGAGTAACTAGCCTGAGTCAACTATACATGAATTGAGAGACAACTACAGTTATGCAACCCCAAAATCTAAGAAAAAGCAAAGGAAACACTTTAAAACACTCTTACTCATTACAAGTAAACTTAAACTAGAACTTCCTTGTTGCATGTATCTGAAATTAAGAAAAAGAATTTTCAAGACCATGATGACCATTATTTTTGGTTAAGCAATTTTTAAAAATTCTTACATTAAAAAAGTTGCAGTCATTTCTCCTTGCTTTACAGACTCTACATTGTGAATTAGAATTCACAAATACTTTTTCAAACTGCACGAAGAAATACTCTCTCCTATTAAATTAATCATGTGTTAGTTTCTCTATTTACATGTAATTACACATGCCAATTGCATACAAATTCATGTGGGGGTTTTGTTTGTCTAGTCCTACACAATCACTTTTTGAACTACTTATATGCCATACTTGAAGTTCCCCAGCTAGCTGGGAAAGAAAGACTCCAGAACAAATCAACAGTCAGGAAACCTTTTGAACTACGTTATGCAATTATTTCTGCCAAGTTTATGTTTAGTCTTGACTTAATATCACCTAATAAAAGCTCTCCTTTGACCCTGCATTTCTCAAAATTGAGCAGAGGGTAGTAACAGGATGCCAGGAATAGCAGAAAAAGCAGCTCTTCCTTCTCTTGTTTCATAAGCTAAAAAAAATTTCTAGCCAAATGAAATACAAACCACAGGCTGGAAAGTACTGCTTTAATTGTTCTTTTTTCCTGACGTATTCTTAAAGATTACTTTTCTTTTCTTGCACCCTTTGCTTTGTTGCCTTAAATATGCTATACTTTTCTAGCTGAGGTTTTTTCCTCCCCAAAAAAGTGTATTCAAACAATACAAAAAGTTATACACCTGTCACATGCATTCTCTTGTCCACAGAATACTGATTAACATGGAGGGTTCCACCTACTAACAGGTATAAGAAATATTTATTATCAGCGCTCTACTTCCTGATGCTTCCTATTACTAGAAATGATGAGAAGAAAACTCATTTAGGCACTTGAACTGCTTGCTAAGTCTGTAACTTGGCTACAAACACAGTATTTTGCTTAACCAGAAAAAAATTCATACTGAACAACACTTGGTTTTACCAGCACAAAGTTTCTCACATTCTGCACTGTACAATTCAGTTATACTGATAGGAATTTTAAAAGACTGACAGGTTAAACACCTTGTGTGTCAACTCCTCAAAGGAAATGAAAGGGAAGAAAATATTTTAAATGGTAGTATCAAGGACTAACAGGCATAACTGTTCAAACCAGTCTCCAAACTGCTCTTCTACTGAATAAGCATCACCTATGCAAACACAAGCTTTTACTTTGCAAGATTTGTTCAACATGTCCAAGATTGCTAGCACTATACATAAATCATAACTAAACCAGAACATTCTATTAAAATTAAGTCTTAAATATGTGTCTTACCCAGTAGAGAGGAATTAGAAGATAGTTGCAACTGCGACCGACTGTCATCAGTAATGACTCTCATCAACCAGGATTTTTACTTAGAGGCTGTGCAAATTATCAGTTCAACTGATATTCACAGTTAAAACAAACTTGCTTTAAGTCTGCTTTTTCCATAGTCCTCGATTAATAATATTGCATTGATTTATGAGTTACCTTTTTCCCTAGAAAATCCACATCTTTGACTAGCTGTCCACTCCTACAGGAACATCTACAAGGTCCCTAACTTCTTCCTGTTTCAGCACAGTTCACACACATCTAGAGTATCTGATAGTGTAAGCAAAACTGTTCCAACTATGCTTAGGAACTATACTAAGGTTGACTGCAGGAGTAGTTTGGCATTATGATCTTTTCAAGTCATCTTGACAGACCTCTGTCATCAATACATTCTGTAGTAAAGAAACTTTATAAATGTTTCACTTATACACTAGTACATACCTGCAAAATTAGGTATGATCTATGCTTCTAAGTTAAACCCATCATTACCTGTAACACCAGGATTAGCTGTTTTACCCAGGAGAAAAGGAAGAATCAGTTAAGCAGAACATGTATTTACTGCCCTAAGGCATACCTAAAGGCATGGGTGGGGGGAGGGGAAGCTACTAAAAAAGTTTATGCAATTAATTATTCCCCACAGATGAGATTAGATTGCATGGTTAGAGATCACACTCCACAGAAAACATCCAGAGAAACTGCCATCTAAGCATGTATTAAAGGTATGGCAGGCATTACCACAAGCAAGTCAGAATGGCATTAACAGCATCCTCCTTAAGCACAGCTTGCAAGCTACTCATAATATCGAAAAATAATTTTAAATAATGGAAATGGAAGAAATCCATAGGTGGAGTTGTTGGGTTTTTTTGTTTCATTTTCTTGAGTTTCCTCTCATTTGCTAGAGTTCACTTTAAAAGCTAAGATAGATAAACCTGAATTAGTATGCTGAACAAATATGCAAAGAAATATTACTGAGTAATTCAGAAGACAGTAAGGTCTTAAGGTAACTTTCTTAAGGTAAACCAG